TGCAGACAAGACTGAGGGCTGTTAGTGGGTGTTTCCTCTGACTGAATGGAGAAGGTCCAACCTGTTTTGGATGGGGTTGTACTCTCCTTGAAGGAGCAGTTTTGTACCCCTAGGGGCCTCCCGGAGACATCTTTGTCACTTGTAACCTCAGTGGCTTGGAGTACCTTCTGTCAGGTTTGGGTGGCAGCCCATCTGTGTCCCTACCTGTACAGGGGTAGCCTGGTTCCAATAATCCACTCTCAGGTCATCTCTGAACAAGATACTGTAACCAGAAAAGGTTTAAATTGCCTTGTTTCCTTGTAGAAACTCTCCAGTCTGGTAGTGGCCATTCTGTGTTGGACTGTGTTTCCATCCATCATGGCCAGTGGACATGCAGACTGGGGAAACCTGTCCAGTAGGATAAAGATGGAATGTAAAAGAAGAAAGGGATATTTAAGTTTGGGAGTCTAGGTTTAGGCAGTCTCTAGATGTCATAGTGCAAAGGTGACTAACTTGTGGCGCTCCAAATATCCTATCTGGATATGTCAGCCCCCAACTTCTTTTTATTCTGTAATTAAGGCAATCAAGAGAAAGGACTGGAAAATTCAAGCTGAAGAAAGCAGGTAGAGGGAATACCAATCTTTGGTATTTGGGTTGGGTCTTGTGCAAATGTAATTTTTTCTCTCAGTCAACAATGATTCACCTTTCTCAACCTGCCTACTGAATTGGAATTCATGATAGGCTGGAAACCAGTGTTAAATTTGCACCAAGCCCAACCCAACTAATTGGTATTTCATCAGTTAGGGAGTCTCAAATTAATAACGATAGAATTGCTGTTGTGTTGTCAAATCACAAATGAAATGGAAATTGGAAGGCTAACAAAACAGACTATCACACTACTGTTATTCAGGCTTCTGAATTTCACAGAAATTATGCTTTGAAAACAGGACCCCGTCTATTCTGCTGGAATACTGCAAAATCCAAAACTAGTATTCTGTCAGCAATTGAGGTTGATCCTGAATTTGTAGAAACATACTAGAAATGTTTGTTTAGAAAATGATAGACATTATTCCAGTTGTACATCTACCTAAACAAAATCTTGGAAATATCTTGTCCCACCCTTTCTTCTCATGCAGCTCTGCTTCTTCTAGAATGAAATGAGGTGTCTCCCCTCCTCCACCTTTCTATTTCCTCTTGTGCTTCTGGCTCTGAAATCCTGTTGCATACCAAGCTCCCCCCGCCCCCCGCCCAAAAAAAAAAAAAAAAAATTAAAAAAATGAAACCAGGATTGCTTTGTATTTAAGAGGATTAGGGGACATTTCTGTTACAAATGCACATTGCTGGCATCAAAAAGGTAGGGGGCTTATGTCACAGTATTACCAAATTAGAAATCTCTGTAATAACTTTTAAATCTGTGGGAGCTGTGGCAGTGGCTTGACTCAACCCAACAAAAAGAGGTTGCTGGCTCCAGTATACTAAATTTTTGTCCAACTCTTATGGAACTTTGTTGAACTAAACTTGGAACAGTTCTGCTTTTATCTTGACATTGCAATCAAAGAACATACTGGGAATGGGGGTCAGGGGAAGCTTATGATTCCCCTAATTCAAAAACCCAGGCATGTTAGAAAAACATGCACTAAACCAAAATCTATATAAAGGCCAACCTAATCTGTCCCTTTCAAAGCCCATACCATTTATATCATCTTCCTTGTTTGCTGAGGTTTTTGTCCCTAGGCTCATCCTTCCTACAAAGACATATGCCTCTCCACCTTAGAAAAGTATCCTATCACACAAATGATCTGATGAATAGCTATTTGTGCCTTATCTCCTAAGCTTTTGCTATCTGTTTTTCATGACTCTTCATATATTAGCACTGGGGATCTGTTTCAGCCATCCACTTCCAAAGATAGATACAAAGTATTTTCTAACAAGCTTAAATTTCTTAGGAAGCTTTTGGATGCGTCAAATGGTAAAGAAGCTATTAATCTTCAGGCTAGTTCATTTGTGTATTCCCAAGGATGTAAAGAGAGTAAGTGGGCCTATGTAGCTGTAACATCTCTGGTCCCGTAGCTGTGTATACTATCAGAATAAGAAGCTGGCGAGAGATTTGTGTTCCTTTCCTCTTAACTCCTTTTTAGATCGCCAAACTGCTGTGCCAGCCTTAACAAAGAGTAAGACATGTCAGCGCCAATCTAATCCGTGGTTATACCAACCCAGGGCTTGTTGATAACTAGGATTTGATACCAAGCAGTGGGATGGGACAAGATGGGAGTCCTATACCTTAATCATAATTAGAGGATTAGGGATGTTGCATTTGCCCTTGTCAGTGGTGTTTTTGCTACCTCTTTTTTCTGTGTTTTGTCTGAAATTGCTTCAGTGCAGCAATTTCAAAGGTGCTGGATTGGAGAGAAATTCTTTTTAATATTTTTCCTGTCAGTTTGGGACAGTTTCAAACTAAACTGTCTTCCATTCAGACCAAATGAAAATGAAGTGGTGAAACTGAGTGCAGATTTATTTTCACCACTATAAAAATACATTTGTGAATCAGCATCCAAGCCTTTCCCCAGAAGAGTGTTCGGTTTATTTTATTATTCTCTTCTCTGGACTTCTTGAAAGAGTGTTAGAAGAAGTATCGAATATTCAGTTGTCTTTGAAACCAGAATACTTGTTAAGATGCTGAAGGATCTCAGCTTTCATTCCCCCATCCTACACCTCTACAACAAACTTTTGGACTCTAGCTGAACAAGAAAGTTTATTTCTAGCTGAGATGGAATTCACAGCCATTCTGGACCTTAAATGAGGTGGCAGGTAAATTCTTTCAGATTTCAAATGCCTACTTCCCTCAAAAGCTGTCTCTTTGCTTTACACTATTTGTAACCACAATCGACCACAGAGCTAAGCTTGCCTGAGCCCTCTGATTTTCATGGTATTAAGTACAGTTAATTCTGTAACGGATTGCTGAGCCCTCTCCCAGATCAGGCAATGTATTCTATGCCAAACCAGTGGTTACCTTCCAGATGGAAGTAATTACAGAAAGTTAACTACCATGTCTATATCGCTTTTACTGTCTGCTTGTCCAAGCATTTCCTAAATAGTTTTCCGCAGCCCTAAATAGTGGTTGCTAAATAGTGTTCCGCAATCTTTTCATTTGCTTGGAAAGTTCTGGACATACTGCCTATACCAGGCAGAAGGAATGTAATCTCTTAGCATAAGTAGTATTGGGCCATATTATCCTTGTAAGTTATTAAGAGTTTTGTTTTCCTATAATGTATAAGCAAGAATTAATGCTGACCTTCAGAGCTGAAAGCAGGAAAAGATAATTAACAGTTCATTCCTAATTTAGCACAGTAATTGTCTGTAGAACAATAGCTTCTGTTTATTTTGGACTGAGATAAACAAAGATGTGTGTTTGTAAGCCCATGCAGTAAACAAAAACAAAAAAAAATCCATACCTTGAGGAGCAAAAATCTAAACTTTCTGACCTAGTTTGCTAAAAATACAATGCAGCCTTTATCCTCCTTGGTGAGATAGTTACTTCAGGGGGAAATGACATTATTAAATTTTATCCATTCAACAAAATCAGCTCCATTTTCTGTTTCCCAATTAAGTGGTAGTTATGTGTCTAGGGAAATCTCTGTGGGTAGGTGAAGAAGGAATAGCCGTTGCTTCCTAACATTATATGAAGTCCAGTGTGGTGACTCAAAACATTCTTTGGGAGCTGTTAGGACAAATCCCTGATCCATCTTCTTTCGTGTTTGATGATATTATTCTTCTCTCATCAGCAGTGGACTGGTGCAGCAGTAATGGATAGGGCCATAACACAAGAGTTCCCAAATGGTGTCTTCTTACTATACATAACGCAGTCACAAGCAGGGCCTGGTAGATGAGTAGATGGATCTCCTCTGCTTAAAGGCTACTGGAATGTGCAGTCATGTGAAAGTGCAAGGCATTCAGACTGTGTCCTTGAATCTTGAGGGCTGAGCATGAACTGTGTGGTAAAATGCTTGGAAACCGTTTCTGCTGGATTGTAGTTCGTAAGAATGTTTCTTGCAAGCAGCTTTCTGCTGTTCTGGATAAGGAGGGCCAGTTGTGCCTTCCATCTGGAACCTTAAGCCATGTTTGTCAGACATGTATTTTATTCAGGAGCGCATTTGAATTGTTGCTGACAAGTGGCAATTTGCTAGTTGCTCCTCTTATCACTTTGGAGTCCACCAGGCCATGGAGCCTGCTTTAACAGAGACATACTTTCTCCAGAATGTTACTCCATAGAAAGTGAAAGAAGCTGGTGTTGTGAATGCTAGGAGTGCAGAAGACAAGATGTTCCTCCTGCCAGTTTCACCTGCCTGAGTAGAAAAGATGGATATTACTCATCTGCCCCATTCACCTGTCACTTCATGAAGGGTCATCGGCATACCTGTGGGTGTAGGAGTTCATTTATAGGTGCTTGCAACATTTTCAGAGTGCTTGAGAGACTATGCACACATTCAGAGACAAACATGCATGCATGAGTATGTTTGTTATGATCTACCTGCTAGGCAAATCTGTAGTAAGTTCTCTACTCCTGTAAGGAAGGATGCAAATCATGGGATAATACGTGTACTTTATAAAGAGAAATTTAAAAAATAGTTTGTACACATGATCAGCTACTGAAGACCAGTTCAAACAATCTGAAACATCTTCATAGATTTTCACCCCTGTCATCTGTGTGTCTATTTCATGCAGAATTGCAGAGGTGTTCCACTGACAACGTATTTCAGCCACCTTATTCGTAGGAATTGCTTTTAGGTAGCCTTGCCTGTGTTTGAGGGCCCAGGCTTGGGCCTGAAGTGAGTTAGTGCTTTTTAAAATGCATTTGGGGTTAAACCAAATAAGATTGTCTTCCCATGGGCACATATTGTGTGTATCCTGTATGATTTTAAAAGTCTTAACCAGCAATAAGGCAACAGTGGCTTGATTAGTCTTGTTAAAGTGCATTGATAGAATTATAATACAAAATAATTGTGGTTTTGCTTTGATTGCAGCTACATTGTACACATCCTGCATTCTGCTGGGAGTCTTCCTGAACAGCAGCGTTCCTATATTCTTTGAACTTTTTGTGGAAACAGTCTATCCAGTTCCAGAAGGGATTACCTGTGGCGTGGTCACCTTCCTAAGCAACATGTTCATGGGCGTCCTTCTGTTTTTTCTTACTTTCTACCATGAAGGTAAGGAGTGTTTGGATGCTTACTGAGTGTAAATTTTGTAGGGTGGTGTACTTCATCTGGAGTTTATTTCTAGCTTCACCAGGAAAAGGAACCGCTTGTAGATCTTCTATCAGTCCTAATGATGTGTGTAAATCCTTGCAGTATTTGCAGAAGACTAGTCTGCCTAAGCATTTGTCTTTATCCATGTGCCAATCAGAGGATGAAATCCTTCTATAGAAGCTTTCCTTCAAAGTCAGTACAGCAGGATGTCTTTGAGATAAACATTGTGGTGGGTTTTTACAAAAACAGCATAATGTTATGTCCATTAATAACATTTGTAGCTAGGCAGGCTAAAACAACTAGAAAAGTAATCCAATCTCATGCTTCAGGGTTTAATCCCGTTGCCTGTGAGGGTAAGAAAAGCTTGTGAACCTTCTCTTTAAACAGCTTGCTGCCCTACTCCTGATTAGAATGACAAAAGAGTGGATATTTCCTCTTGCCCTTCTTCAGATACATTTAGAATTATCTTAAGCTATGAGTAGATAAACACGGATTTTATGTTGTGTTAGAGATTGTGAGCTGCTTGGAGATTTTACATTGTATTTAACACAAAATTCTGTGGTGTGTTAAAGTAATTTCATGTCAAAAATCCAGCCACTTTCAAGAGGACCTGGTTAGAGTCCAGGTTTGCAGAGGAGTGGGAAAAGGTTTAAGAGGAGGGAAGGGGGAAAGGATACTCCCACCCACCCACTTCCAACCTTCTCAGAACCTTCCCCTGTCCTTCATGATTTCTCAAAGACACTAGACAGTGGTTCTGAGGGTTCTTCTGCCAGCTTCTTTATAACTATAGGATGGAGTTCATTGGGCACTGGAAATTTGAACTCATTTAGATCAATAGATGATTCTTGACCATTTGCTTATCAATCTTGGGCTCCCATCTTGCTCTTTTCAGCTTGTATTTCTCCTTCATCAGGACAGTCATAGATCTTCTTTTGGGAGAAGACTTAGCCAAAGTAGGAATTGAACACTTCTGCCTGTTCTTGGTTATTTGTGATAATTTTGTCATCTATATGTTGAACCACCATTTTTCTCCTCCATTTTTTACTTTAGGACCCTATGAGATTCCCTGCATCCAAGTTAACAAGTTTCATTAATACCTCCATGTAGATGTAAAAATAAAAATTGAGGATTGAAGTTGTCATTCATGTTCTAATGTGATAGTGCAGTGATAGTAGATGCTTCCTATTTGTTGAATGACTTGTTTTCTTAGAACAGACAAATAACAGCAGGAAAATAACTATCTTCATTTGTAGCAGATTTTCTCCCAGTACTGAAAATTGCTTTTTGTTTCCTGGTTGTGAAAATTACTTTGAGAGTAAGTCAAAGGCAGTTATTCCTAAATAAATACTGACAGGTATTAACCGCCACCCCATTGCACTCGATTAGACCTGCTTCTAAAGAAACATGCATAGGATCAAACTTGGATATCTGTGTGTTATAAATGCTTTTCATTCAGCATGATGATTCAGTTATGATTATACTTACTTTGCTATTTTCTCTTTCATGGCAATTTAAACATTCATCACTGTGTATTATTATTACAAACCATTGCTCCCCCTTTTGTGTGAAGGCAGTGAACTAATACAGGGCCTTGGAAACACTGTTGCAAGGGAAGCTAGAGGTTTGTTGGTTGCTTAGCAGTGGTGCTTTAATGAGAAGAATAGTAATAGCAGACATTTGTGCATACCCACCCCCTGCTCAGATGTTGCCAAGTCGTGCAAACCTGTTGAGTGTGGATTATGCAAGAGTTAAACAGCTTACTGGTTATGTGAAGGCTGTTTAACCAATGCTTTCCCCGTTCGCAATACTCAACAAACACCAAGTGGTGGGCATATATTTAAAACGCATTCCACAGGTGACACCCCCAAGGCTTAACTGGGGGCTAAACAACCCATAGTGGGCTGTTAGGTTGGGTGAGCAGCCCCACTGTCTTCCAGGATAATGGGCGCCATTCCTTGCTTTACTCTAGTTCATTTCATTGCAGTTGTGTGTGAGATGCTCCAAGTATATTTAGTTCAAAGTGCTCTCAAATGACAGTGCTGCATCTGTTTTAGATATTATTCAGTGGCAACTGTGCTTACAGTCTGATGCATGTGCAGCTTGGAGTATAGGCCTAATATGGGTGTTAGCCAACATATTTATTAAGGGGTGCTTTACATTTTACGTTCTTGTAAGTGGTTCTCATGCAGAGTAAATAGATTTTTGAACATGTTCAGGCACAACATTCTGTGTAAAAAAGAGCGCAGTGGCTTTTTAGCCACTTATTCAAGGGCTGCTCTTATGATCTGCTATAGGAAATTGTCTCCCTTGGTTTTTTGCACCGTGTTTGCTATTCTTTCATAAGGAGTCACGTAGATTAGGAGGTTGCAACTGTTGCCTTCTTTAAGATTAAATAATGCTAAATAATGCATTAAAGGGAGTTGGTATAGTGTAAGATAGATCTAAATTTAGTAAAAATTAGGGATGGATAGATCTGCATTTTCCTAGTTCATGTGAGTTTCTCATGTTTTTACCAAGAAGATAATTCCATACTGTTGTCTGTTCGGGGGAGGGGGGGGAGCTAACACATGAAAATTCATATTTAAATTGTTTGCATTTTCCCTGAAATATACTTATTTTTATGCATTTTTAAAAAAAGTGTATTGACATATTTAGGAAAGTCTGCCATTCATAGGGTAACTATGTGTATGGCCAGGAAGCAAAGGTGAGGTTGCTTGGCTTAAAAATGCAGACAGAATAAAATTCTTCAGCTTCCCAGGTTCAAAATTCTGCAAAACTACTTGGGCAGTAGTTCACTTTTCAGCTGAATGTACCTCCCAAGGTTGCTGTGAGGATAAAAGGGAGGAAGAATGAAGCAGCCACACGTATTTTGCTGTTCCAATATTCACATAATCTGGAAAATGCTAACAGAACTGACTTTAATTCTCTGTCCTGACAAGTATTGGACCATTCCGAAGTCATTAGGCCTCAATACCTTCTCAATATTTTGTTCCAAGTGCACTCATATTGATAGAACTGTTTGTTGGCAACAGCTTGGCAGGAAAATGCCTTGGATATTTGGAAGCCCTGTGAAAGATGGTTTTCTTGCTCTCATTTTCTTTTTCTTTATGATAAACCACTTGCACATGGATGGTTTCCATGCTCTATTATTACACCACTAGGAGAACTAACAGCATAGGAAGAGGGCATGATAAAAGCTTCAGCGGTTTTCTTAGTATAGGTCATCTGCGATCAGGTTTAGCACAAGTTAAAGCTTTTAAAGGAAGTATCTAGTACAGAAAGAAGTACTGTTTTCTGAGAAAGTAGTGTGGTAGGTTCTCCACTAGCAATTTTTAAAGATAAGACATTTATCTTTAGGACTCTGAATTATATGACTAAGTTAAATCAGGGTTACCAGATTATTGTTAGAATGTGTGCTAACATAGTGAACAAAGATGTTGCTTCAGAGAAACAACATAAATTTTTGCTGTCCTTCTGTTTTGATTCAAAGAATTAAACAATAAACAGTGTTTTCCTGCTTATGGCTATATACTGGTTTCTTGAGAGATGTGATACAGGTTTTGTTTTTTTGTTTCTTTTTTATGGACTGATGTTTTTACTGAAGAATTACCTTTGCCTTTCCAGAACTGTAAAATTGAACAGCTTTTGATGATTAAAGGATACTATCTGTATTCTAGAGAAAGAATGCATAAGAATAATGAATTGAACTGAAAATAATTAACAGTTTCAATGGATGGAGCATCCTTTGGATTCTGAAAAGTACCTATAGTTCATTCAAGAATGGTTTCTGCTCATTTGGCGTCTGGAATCCAGTTTGCAACCATGTTCTTGCTATGCCCAGCTTTCCCTGAGACATAAAGTTATAAGCATATTTTTGAGCATTTTAATTATGATATGAGATAGATATGCTCCATTTTCCCCCCGAGTTTCTACAGAAAATAATGCATGTAGGTTTCCCCAGCACTATGGGTTTGTCACTGAACTGACTGAAACTCTTGCTGCTCCAAGAAAGTAGTATAAGTAAAATTTGATCAATTCTATTTTTAAAATGTCCTACCATAAAATTATCATCAACAACATTCTCACTGCATCTTCTTAAATTAAAATGCTTGGTGCTTATAACACTTTTAATAATATTTGTTGTTTTAATTCCCCAAAGCATTTAGGGGAGGCAGCACAGCCAAAGGCAGCTCAGATTAACTAACTCTGGCCTCACAAGTCAAGCAGGGAGTGTTAGCTCTCTTGAACATCCTGCCTCCACTTCTTGTGACACTGCTCTATTGGAAGGGGCCATCTTTTATTGTTGAAAAAATAGGGTAGGTTTTTAAGAGTGTGGAGGGGTTTGTCTAAAGAAAGCCTTTAGCCTGAAAAGTTTACTTTGTCTTTCTCCAAAGTGATTCCATTAGCCTAAATTGTGATGCTCTTTAAGAATTTTATTTTGGTGAAGTAGGATACATTTCATAAATATGCCATACTAATTCCTTTCCTTTATTTTTTGCTTCCACCCAGAGTTCTCCTGGTTTAACTGGTGCCTCCCAGGATCCTGTTTGCTAAGTCTCCTGCTGATCTTGTGCTTCAGGGAATCCTACGATAGACTTTATCTTGATGTCATCGTCTCAGTGTAATAGCACAACAGCACACGTTCAGGCGGGGGATGACGTTGGCAACATGCCCAGCCTATTTCCTTGGAAATTGCGTAGCCAAAAGGTTGCAGTAAGAAACCACAGAATTACACATGGACATTTTAACTGAATTTTAAATTACACTTCCTAATTTGGTATTTTATTACTTAGATTATTATGATGAGTCAGTCTTGTACTTGAATGGTAATTAGATTATTTCAAAAGAATGTGTGTTGGGGAGAAACTCTAGTCTATGAACTGTGATACTTTATTTAATAACCTATTTAACTGGTTGTACAAATTTGTGCCATCTCAAACCACTTACATGGGAAGCTTAGCAGCAATATCATCTCATTTAGGACTTAAGGGACTGCAGTCCATTTTTTTTTAAGAAACTATTTTTCGCAGCCTGAAGAAGGAGATGAAAATTCTGGTAATCCCAGGGTTTTAAAAACTATTTTATTCCTTGTGGTTGCAAGAAAAGAGTAGTGTTACTGTGATGACAGTGATTTTAAAGATAGTTGGCAGGGCTGAACAACTTTTTGGTTCCTCACTGTGAGTTATTCTATTCAAAATGGGAATAATGATGGACCTATTTGCCCTTCTAAGATACCAATCTTAAAATAATTATGGTTAAAAATTAAAATTTTGTATAAATTTCTTAGGATACCCTTTAACACTACATATATTTTCTAATGAGGCCATTTGTAAAGTTTAGTTCTTTCACCTAAGGGTTAATTATGGTTAAAGTGCTCTTACGCCCCAGCATCCACATTCATTGTGTCTTGGCACACTGAAGGATCTCATGAAAATTGGTGCTAAAATTGCAGTTTTGTCTAAAATATTAATATTTAATTGCTTTGAATGCAGCTACATTGAGTTCAGAGAGGCTTATGTCCAAGTCAGTGGGTATAAGATAGGAAATTGCTTAGTGTAGGAAATTGCTTAGTGTAGGAAATTGCATCTGTTGTCCAGGATTGGTAATCCTAGGAAATACTACTGGTATTGTGGGTCAGTACTGAGCCCTTCTTTTTGTATCCTTTTCTGGGAATCTCTTGGTACAGTTCCCCCACTGTCATTCACACCCCCCCCCTTCCAGAGTCGTACAAATCTAATTCCAGAAAGTTTATAGACTTTCTGTTATTGAGACCAGGCAATTGACAGCCCACAGCTTGCATGCAGCCCCCCCCCCCCCCCCCTTTATTGTTTTGTGCCACCCACACAGTGCTGTATTGGGTGCTGGCAGGCAGCACAGTGAAAATCTGTGTGTGCTACTAAATTTTATAGTTGCAGCAGCAGAAGTGCAGCCTGTGGAAGATAAAAAGTGACTCCCAGACTCCCCAGAGTTACCCAGACTCGTGCTATAGGTTATGACCATAACCTATTCAGATTAGTTCATAATATACATAGTGCTATCATGTACAGTAGTTTTGTTATTAAATATTTATTTAACAAAGACATGTTCAGATTCTTTTGAGTGTCAACATTAAACGACAAATCAAAGGGAAATTCTTCAAACAGTGAACTCCAGCATAAAGTGAAAAATGCAATGCCAACCATACCCACCTCGGACCCTGTGCCATGATGGACATTCTTCTTTGGCCTCATTTTCAAAAGCTACTCCACCTTGTCCGATTATTTTTACAAAGTCTCACCTCCTCATGCTTTGCAGCACATCTGAAGCAAGTACTTAAATGCAGGCTGTCTTTATCATTGCAGTTCGTTTGATAGAACTTGCGTTATTAAATTGTGGCCAGTGTGATTTTCTTTCAGATTTCTGCAGCTAGTTTTCTTACAAGTCAGCTTAATATTGATTGCACTTCAATTTTGGCTCGATTCTCTTTGAGGGCGGTCTGTCTATGTATACAGCATCTGCTTGTACACAACACATTTTTGTTACTATATTTCTCTTTATGTTGCACATTTCTTTTGTGTTGCATAGAAATTTATAAGACTATCTTAGTCCCATTGTCCACTGGAAAAGCAGCTTCATGAAGTGCAGTGGTTTACACACCAGAGTTATGCCACAAAATTAATGTGGCTTTGGGTGGGTCGGATTGCACATGGGCCTTTGAGAATGCTGGCATGCAATATTCTGCTTGAGAGAGAAATCTGAATTGTATGCATTTTCCTCCTTCAGGACTAAACTATACCTTACACCAAGTTCTGTGTAACTTCCCTTGACTTTTTTAAAATAATAAAAAGCAGCCACCAAAAGATGCAGTCAGAAAGGAATGCAAAGCCAGGTTTTCCAGGAAAAAGCTTTCCTCCACAGGGGGCAATTAAAAAAAAGTATGAAAAAGGATACAATGTCCTTTTCCTATGCATGTGGTCTGCCTCCTCTGCTATATTTTGTCTTTATTGTTTAAAGTTGATAAAAGGTTACACAGCAGCACATGTTGACATGCAGTTTGATCCAGTGGTTAGAAGGTGAGTTGAAGATTTTATTTCACTTGAGCACTTAAAAAATGAACAAGAAAATTACATTTCCTAAATGCAATGCAAGTAAATATCTTGTTAGTTAGAGGAGTTTGATGGCAACCCTGTTAGTAACTCATCCTGACATCTCTTATGCTGCAAAGGCACCTTCAACACAGTGTACGAGAACTACTACTCAGTGTGAATAATACCTGCTGATCCAATTCTCAGGATTTTGCTTTATCCTGTCATCTTTGGTCTTTGTGTCCTCCTCTCGTATGTCTGAGTTTACACGGCCATTTGAAATACTGTGGACTTAACTTTATTATTGCTGTCCAAGATAAAGCAGACCATCCACTCCATCTTTTACATAGTGCAGACAAAAAGTTGTCCTTTCTGGACAACTTGACTGGCTAGTCTCCCCTGCAGAGTCGTTATATCCATGTGTGTGCTGTTGAACGTCTGAAAAACATTTAGACTTTATAAAGATTAAATGCATAATCCAGAACTAGCAAGCTGCATAAGTGCGTGAGTTTTACAAAAAAAGGGAAGTAGATATAGGTATTATGTGGCATTAATTAAAGATTTTACATCATCCAGTTACTCAGTGACAGCCTATAAAGGCTCTGATAGCAATTCTGATTTGGGCATTAAACTGCCTTGTAATTATATTGGATAATAATTTTATCTTCTCAAATTGTTGGGGCAGCAAAATTGGTTTTGGAAAAGTGTTTTGCATATAATGAGGCTGCTTCTCATCACTGTAGTTATTTCCCAGTGTTGATATGCAAGTGCTGTGGTTGGCCAGCTGTGAGGCCTTCGGATGCTGAATTCAGTACGCAGGCTCAGTGTAACCTATGCAGGGAACACCAGAGTGAAGTTACCTTGTACAGATCCCACAGACATGATTAGGAGCAGCACGAGGGCTTTTGATCTTGTGCGGATCCTCTTCGTTTGTTTTGAGCTGTACAGATGGAATTCCCAGTTGTCTGTATCTCATCTAGCCTTTATCCTGGAACCCTGGGCAATAAGTTCTTCAGTGAGTAATGACTATATAGAACCTCTTGGTATCTAAATATAGTCAATACCTTATCAAAAGAGGTTGCCTTTTTATTATTGTTATGTATGTATAAAAGTTCTGATACTTTGATATTGGATGCAGAATAGGACTTGTTAATCAAATCCCAGAATGAGAATTTGGTACCATTTGAACAAGTAAATGTTTAGGAGGGCGGTGTCTAAATGTTAAACGTTTTGGAATTTGCTCTCAGAATCATATCACCTGTTAATTCCATCTTTGGGGAAAATAATGCTTTGGTCTGCATAATACAGTTGAATTCCACTTTCACAGCTACGCTCATGACCAGTGACTTGCATCCTGCAACTTAAGTTGGAGCAAGCTGAGCGTGCAACATTGGATCTCCACATGCAAGATGGAAAATACCGCCTGTCTTTCCCTGTATTGTGCATGTGAAAGGAGTAAAAAATAGGGATGTGACATTTTAGTCAGGTAGTATGTTAGATTAATTAAAATGTTTTGATCAACTAAATATGTACCATGAATAATTGGTACCTATTTTACCAGTGTATTTTAAATGTAAGCAGCATATTTTAAATGTAGTAGAGCTCAGTAGTGCCGATAGAAAGTACTCACCTTAACACGTAGCCCCTGCTCTGTGAGAGATGTTGGGGAATGCCTTTTCTAAGATACTACCTGCTGTGTTCCTTTTATGCATCATGAAAAAACAAAAAAGTATGCACATTTCTTTAGATAATTTTTCTCATGCAAATTTTATGAGTTTGTCCAACTTACTGGCAAAAACTCATGTAATTAATATCTTCAGTTTTCTTAGTTTGGGTGACAGCCCTTATAAAAAATGCAAATTCTATTTGCACCACCGAAGTCTATATACATTAAGAGCAAATTAAGTACATGATTTGAAAACCAAGAATGGATTTGATTCTGACTCACATATGTTTTCAACAGAATGTAGACAATTTGCAAAGGACCATGATAAAGGTGAAGGGAGGGAGGGAGGGAGGGAGGGGGGCATGACCCAGCTTGGATGGAGAACGCACAGAATTTTTGCTAGGACATGAGAAGGGGCTTTCAAAGTATAGAAAATCCTGCCACCATAATTGAAAACGCAAGTCCATAACCAATTTAGGCTAGGCCAAGTGAACTTTAGCTTTAAAATACACACATTCTATCACAATACATGATGACTTCAGCAACTTGCAAAAATTAGAAGTCTTTCCTTCTTTTTCTTACTTAGCACAATTTATTCTACCATCTGTAGCTTTTTTGTACATTGGTACAATTTTGAACCTGCAGTGGATGATCCTTTTTACATTTTCAGTTTCTTTATCTGCAGAGCACTGTAAACTAGAAACCTGAAGTTTTTGGGAAGGTGAATCCACTAGCAATTGTAGATACAAATGTGGCTTAGGAAGCTGGTCCAACTAGTTCACTATTGCCCACACTGTCTGATGTCCAAGATTGTCACTGTGCTCACAAGCAGTGCTCCACCAAATCATTAAGTTGCATGAGCAATTGCTCAATTGAAAGTGGTTGCACAAATTCTTGCGTAAGTGAAGCTTCAGCTAGATTCTCTCCTTGAACATAGTTTAGAATATAATTTTCAGTAGCTCAACCTAAATTTGTCCAAGCACAATGGCAGTTTGATACTGCCCAGGATTTCTTCTCTGTCCTTGGCGATACCAGGAACCGAACGGGGGAATTCTGCACGCAAAGCCTGCATATTCTTACCACTGAGCTACAGCTCTTCCCCAAATATGGAATGTGACCTGTACTTGAATAGTACTACGCGTAGAAAGGTGAGATAGGTAGTGACAGCCGTCTTCCTAATATTGGAAGAATTGGTGCAAAGGCAAGGGTTTCCAAATGCAAGTTGAAGAACTTCATTGTCACAGCCCATCTGTCTTTGGTCAATTAACTTGACATCTTTCCTTCTTGATGATGATGATGGCTTATTCCATTTCTGTACTGCCCAACAATTAGAGCTACATAAACGATACAACTTGGTGTTCTGTAATATCCATTAAATAATTGGAAAACTTCTAACATACTGTGTCATATTGCAAGAGTTTAGGGTTTATTTGATTAAGGCACAGTGGAATGTTTTTTAAAAATCACTTCTGTTTTTTACAGAATCCACCCCCCTCACACACACAATGCTTTGGTCCGCTTTTAGAGTGGTTTGTACTTTGCTTAAAATTTATGACTAAACTACAGTCTGTGACTTATTATTTAACATGGCTAATTTTTCCAGCCATTGTTCTCTCATTTCTGCCATATTCTTTGAAATGGTTTTCTTTGTATATGCAAATAGTCATTTGCCTGTCAACATCCTGCATGTTCCACTATGTGCAATATGCCTAAGCCCTGTTTTATATGTCCGACTGTCACAGGATTTATTTTAACTAGGTGGTGTGAATATGTAGAAAAAACCTAATTTTTTCTTGTTTTTCAGTATGACTTTTTGTAAATCAATCCTCAAACTGTAAAAAAGAAAAAGAAACCTGTTAGGATTTGTAAGTATTTTACTTTTTGTAATTTTATAATAAAATATTTTTATTTTAGGGCAAGTTCTACTTTTCTATGTAATATACTGACATGAGGCATAATCTGTTAGAAGCATATCCTGCGTTTCTATTAATTGAAATATATTAGATGCATGAATATGTCCTAAACTGTTAAATAAAAGTTGACTCGAGCAGGACAGGTTTTTCATGCATTGTGCCTGTGATGTCATTTATTTTTTTTATAAAAATTATTTAAAACCACTGTCTAATATACATGGAAATGCAAACTTCACCTGTCTCTCTGGCATTGTTTTGAAACCGAGATATGGATTTTAAACATTGTGTGTTAACTTGTGTAATGCTTGCTACACATTAAAAAGATCAGTTGTGGCTTGTGAATTATCATTTGTGTCCAGATGCAGAATAACATCCTAGAATATCGGTGAGATTTTAGCTATTGGCCTTACTTGAGGTGGATTAATGTTATTGTTAGGGTCAGGGGTCCTCAAAATTTTCCGCCAGGGGGCTAGTTGAAAGCTGCCAGTGCTGGGCATGGGCCGGAAAGGTGGTACCGGTGGTGTGTGCGGGCAGGGGCGGGGGTGGTGCATGCAGAGTGCGCGCCCGGCGAGGGAGGCGAGGTGTGGTGGGGGCGTGCACACGCCATGAGGAGGGCGCACGAGGCAGTGGCTTGCTCGCTTGGAGATCCTTTTCTCCGAGCGAGCAAACCGCTGCCTCCCTGCACACGGGGCAAGGTGGGCGGCGGCGGGTGCATACGTGGCTGGTCCAAATAGGCATGGCGGGTGGGATAAATGGGCATGGCGGGCTGGATTTGGCCCCCGGCCCGTAGTTGGAGGACCCATGCCCTGGGTAATGGTGACTTTTGGTAATAGCCCTGTTGGCAAGAGTCTAACAGATGTTCCTCCTTCAGGTCACCGTGTAAATGGCAACTGCCAGAAAAATTGGCCAGGCCATTTTGTAGAATCAAGACCCCAGAATATGTTGGAGTCTTTGTATGAGGTGATCTATGAAATTTATGAAAGAGACAGAAGTAATGATATGAATAATCCAACGCATTGAAACCACAATTGCTTATCAATTCATACCACCCATTAACAATATTTATAGTTGGTCATATCCACCTGTATCATTCTGTACATTGAACGGTAATTGATCTAGTAGAGGTGTTCACTAACCGGAGCAATGGAGAGCAATCTGTGCTGGTTGCTGCCTTCAGCCTCCAGATCAACCTATTTGATGTTCTGGAAAGACACCAGCCTACATATCTTTGGATGTTGCATGTCACAGAATTGGTCTCATTGGCTGATTTTGTGAGATAATTGTAAACCAGGTACCACAAAGAATATACTTATCTATTCTGTTAACCTAAAAAACACCTAATTAAGAAGTTGATATAAGTAAGCATTTTGTCCTTTATATCTGATAAAGCTTAAGAATTACAGGCTTTTTTGAATGATGGAAAATGTATTTCTTAGGGGAAATGTTTGGGCTTCGAAGAGGAGTTGTCAGTTTGGTCCAAAGAGGTCATATTATATATTTGATTATAGCAATAGCATGTGGTTGAATGGAACTTTTGGATTGCACAAGATTTATTTGAAGGCCAATTTTTGGGGGGATTTTTTTCAGGAAACACTGTTATGTCTGAGAAGAGAACACAATTGAACTCATACTCTCCCCACCCCCACCCTTTGGAGTGCAAACCTTGTAAAAGAGTTTTCAATTTTGCATTGTAGCAATTGTGATTTTATTTTAAAATAGTTTTACATAGGTTTGTATTACCCTTTTTAGTGTTTAAGATGAAAATGTGACTATGACATTTTATAGAACAGATCTACCTAGAATGAGGCTGTCTGTTCAGCCCTTGGGACAAGAGGGGTAGTTCAGTTTGTTTTCTGGTTGCTTTCCCTAACCTTATGATTCAACTATGGTAAACATACTGGACTAAAAATCTAGAATTGCACCTTCGTATATTAGAAAAATAAATCTCTTAATAAGTTATGTTTTGGAACTCATTTCCACAGATATAGCTATTAGCCCATCTTCTTTTACCCATCAGCTGACCTTTTGAGAAGGCAAGTGCGAGGCATGCTATTCTGAAATGAGGGTGTTTCTGAGGACCCCCAGCAGTTAAGGACTTCACTCCATGTTGGTGATGGTGATGTGGAAAGAAGCAAAAGAAAAGAAGAGGACCCCAAAGCATGCTCATTCTCTGGGTGATTGCAAATTGAGTGAGTGGAAGTGCTGATAAGCATTATTGATCTTATCATTCAGCCAATTAGCAGTGGGTTTGTGCTGGGTGCTACAAGGGTGCACAGATATTCCTTGATTCTAAACAAACCCCTTTGGAATTTTTTTGCAACTTAAGTGTTAAAGAATCCTGGGGAAAACCTCTATCTGGTTCACACTAAGTTTGTTTTTACTGATCTGGTGCCTTTCAATTACTTTCTAATGGGCTACATTTAAAAAATAAATTCCCCAAGGCACACTTGCAAATATGACAACTCTCAGAATTATAGCTGATGATTGACTAGGAATGAGGCATTATGCATGCAGGTATAGCTGGTTTCAGGTTATTAGAAATCCAATCTATTTTTTATGATATTGTGGTGTAATTTTCAGCACAAGACCATGATATAAATTTCCAGTTGCATCGGAACATAAACTAAAGTGTCCCTGACTCTTGTCACTTTCTATGGTCTTTAGTTTGATTAATAAATGGGACGAGAGCTATAACATTTCCCCAATAAGAATCTATGATCATCCCTCAGTCAAAATGGCCCCATTTTACACTGGTACGTAACAATGATAAAAGATGTTATTTCGGGACCACTGGGACTAGTCTTTCAGCTCTTAAATGTTGATCATATGGCTCTGGTTCTTGGAGCAAGTGCATAATCTTTTTTTGTGCGTTAAGAGCCTCTGTCCTTGGGAAATGCAGGTCTTTTGATTTCCTGCGTATAGCAAAAAGTTGTAAAGTTGAGGAATCCACAAAATATGCTATTTATGATTTGTCCCATACCTACAGAATGAACAGAGAATATTAAAATGACAAGATTTTTTTTTTCCTGATTTTGAAGTTTTGTTGGTAAATCTTCCAGGTATTAAAATGTTTTAGTGGTCAAACTTTAGTTTTACATTCACGTATTTGCATTTCAGTTAAGCTGAACCAGTTACAGTTGTGTGTGATTACTCAGAAATAAAAATCGTTCTGGTCAATGGAATGTCCCAGTTCGGTGCATAGAATTGAATGTTCATTCAGCTAGAGTTGCAATAACAAGTTCTATTTTAGTTGAGTACATAGACTAAAAAAATGATGCAGCCAGAAAATCGACAAATTTAACAAAATATTTCCTTGCACCTTAGCCAAAAGTTTGATGATTCTGTCAGCTTCAAATATTAATAAATGTTCACAGATTACATTAAATTAGTCCAAATGTAGTTTCAAAGGATATTTTTGGTCTCAAAAGCTGCCTTTTTTAAGAGACGGGAGATGCAAATGGTAGCAATGTCTGTGCTTACAAAGATTATGGTGCATTTTGGATGGGAGGAAGTCTTCACCTGAGATTAAGTTCATTTTGGAGCTCATGTTCTAAGACCCAAGATCAAGGGGTGATAAGAAAGTGATATTTACATCTGAGAGCAGTGTGTATGAGTGCCGTAACTGTGTTAATAAGCCATTTCTTATAGCATTCTCCTCCCTGATTTGATGGGAGGAAGTAGATTGGTGTCTTCATGAGAATAAACATGTTAATCAGCTGTTTCAATTTAAATCAGGGAGGGCTATGTGTGGAACTCTGATGTTTTGGCTAGAACTCCTGTTGTTCCAGACTCTCAAGTTTGTTGGCTAGGGTAATGGGAAGAGCAGGTCAGAGCATAAGATGCCCATCTTTAGTTTGAATGAACGGGAGAGTTGTTGAAGCTGGATCTGGGTGTGCACATTGGAACTACTATGGCTTTCACTGGAGCTGAGGAATTGCATTTAATTGAAAACATCGTAGTCTAGTGCACTATCTCATCTGCAGATGGATATTTATAGGCCTTAAGTAGAAAACATTTAGTGACCAGATCCCAAGTTTACAGGTTCCAAAGTTACAGGCATGGTCGAATGTTGAACTTGTATTGGGGAAGTCTGCCAGCATTCAAGTTCACGAGGTTATTTTTAGAAAGTTGTTCACTCAGGACCGCAAGAATGTGAATCATTCTCTCCTCCTTTCATCCTTTCTGTTCGATACACTTTAGGTGGTGCTGGTGCTGGTGGTTAATGGCTCTGCAAATTCTGAACCTGCATGAGGAAGACTGCTTTTCTGAGATTTCTAGTAGATTCCTCTAGCAGGCCAATAGGACAACCATTCGCCTAAAGTTCTTCCTACAGTACCACCAGGGGGGTAAACCCTTCCATTTCGGTGAGCACATTCTGTAACAGCAAAGTTTAAGCCAGGCAATCACTACAAGAAACAGTGACTTCCTATAGGCACACTGTGTTGTCTCTTTGAATTAATCTCAGACATACCTAGAAGAAATCATAGACATTTTATCAGTGGTGTGTGCTTTTCATACATTGAGGAATTACTAATTAACCTATGGTTTAAATAGGAGTGATATCCACAATGAATTGACAGCACAAGTAGCTTCTATTTCAGTAAATAAGAGTGAACATGAGATGAATGTTTTCATTCGAAGCAGTAGTTTGCGAAATTAGACACTGTGCACTTTGATAAACTAGAAGGGATCTAGTTACACCCTTTGGTATGCCATAATCTCCAGATTCCTACCTTTCATTAAAAAAAGGAAAGCAAATTGTAGACCCATGTTCTGCCAACTTATTTGTGAGAAACTAGTCTGTTTCTGACTTTTGAGGGTGGGGGTTAACCAATGAAGAAGCCATTACAACGCTCAACACACCAACTATCTAGTGCTGTAACCCTTTTGGATATGTTCAGCCTTTTGCGGAGATCTTCCTTTTTATAAAGTCATTGCCGCCTCATCAAAACAATTAAGAAATCAAGGAGTTTAAATCAGCTGATGTCAGGCAGTAGCCAAATACAGGGGTCCATGATCTTTTGATCGGGGCTTGTTAATAATATTTTTCTCAGTTCATAAACAATAACTATAACCCTGTCAACAGGTGCAAATGAAATTCATCAGTATTATACCCATACAACAGTTGGCAGGGCATGTATGAGAAAATCTAGGTTGTATCAGTTTTGGCAGTTAGGCCCACATTATCCCTATTTGAGATGGGACCTTGAAGCAGAAAGTCCTACACAGATGCTCTGAACTTACTCTTCTTTCATGCACTGGTGTAATAGCCTGTTCCAAAGATGCCAGAAACTGTTGTGGGTTGCCTACACAGCAGAATCTAGGAGTGGGCT